GTGTGAGGTGGTATCTCACTGAGGTTTTGATTTGGATTTCCCTGATGCCAAGTGATGTTGAGCACTTTTTCATGTGTCTATTGGCCATTTGGATGTCTTCTTTGGAAAAACGTCTGTTCATGTCTTCTGCCCATTTCCTGATTGGATTATTTGTTCTTTGGGTGTTGAGTTTGGTAAGTTCTTTATAGATTTTGGATACTAGCCCTTTATCTGATAAGTCATTTGCAAATATCTTCTCCCATTCTGTCGGTTGTCTTTTGGTTTTGTTGACTGTTTCCTTTGCTATGCAAAAGCTTTTTATCTTGATGAAGTCCCAATAGTTCATTTTTGCTTTTGTTTCCCTTGCCTTTGGAGACATGTCTAGCAAGAAGTTGCTGCGGCTGAGGTCGAAGAGGTTGCTGCCTGTGTTCTTCTCTAGGATTTTGGCGGACTCCTGTCTCACATTTAGGTCTTTCAACCATTTTGAGTCTATTTTTGTGTGTGGTGTAAGGAAATGGTCCAGTTTCATTCTTCTGCATGTGGCTGTCCAATTTTCCCAACACCATTTGTTGAAGAGACTGTCTTTTTTCCATTGGACATTCTTTCCTGCTTTGTCGAAGATGAGTTGACCATAGAGTTGAGGGTCTATTTCTGGGCCCTCTATTCTGTTCCATTGATCTATGTGTCTGTTTTTGCGCCAGTACCATACTGTCTTGATGATGACAGCTTTGTAATAGAGCTGGAAGTCTGGAATTGTGATGCCACCAGCTTTGCTTTTCTTTTTCAACATTCCTCTGGCTATTCAGGGTCTTTTATGGTTCCACACAAATTTTAGGATTATTTGTTCCATTTCTTTGAAAAAAGTGGATGGTATTTTGATAGGGATAGCATTAAATGTGTAGACTGCTCTAGGTAGCATTGACATCTTCACAATATTTGTTCTTCCAATCCATGAGCATGGAACATTTTTCCATTTCTTTGTGTCTTCCTCATTTTCTTTCATGAGTAATTTATAGTTTTCTGAGTACAGATTCTTTGCCTCTTTGGTTAGATTTATTCCTAGGTATCTTATGGTTTTGGGTGCAATTGTAAATGGGATCAACTCCTTAATTTCTCTTTCTTCTGTCTTGTTGTTGGTGTATAGGAATGCCACTGATTTCTGTGCATTGATTTTATATCCTGCCACTTTACTGATAACAAAATCAAAGAAACACATCGACAATATAATACTAGTAGGGGACTTTAACACTCCCCTCACTGAAATGGACAGATCATCTAAGCAAAAGATCAACAAGGAAATAAAGACTTTAAATGACACACTGGACCAAATGGACTTCACAGATGTATTCAGAACATTCCATCCCAAAGCAACAGAATACACATTCTTCTCTAGTGCCCATGGAACATTCTCCAGAATAGATCACATCCTAGGTCACAAATCATGTCTCAACTGGTACCAAAAGATTGAGATCATTCCCTGCATATTTTCAGGCCACAATGCTTTGAAACTAGAACTCAATCACAAGAGGAAGTCGGAAAGAACTCAAATACATGGAGGCTAAAGAGCATCCTACTAAAGAATGAATGGGTCAACCAGGAAATTAAAGAAGAATTTAAAAAATTCATGGAAACCAATGAAAACGCAAACACAACTGTTCAAAATCTTTGGGATGCAGCAAAGGCAGTCCTAAGAGGAAAGTATATAGCAATATAAGCCTTTCTCAAGAAACAAGAAAGGTCTCAAATACACAACCTAACCCTACATCTAAGGGAGCTGGAGAAAGAACAGCAAATAAAGTCTAAACCCAGCAGGAGAAGAGAAATAATAAAGATCAGAGCAGAAATCAATGAAATAGAAAGCTGGTTCTTTGAAAGAATTAATAAGATTGATAAACCCCTGGCCACACTTATCAAAAAGAAAAGAGAAACAACCCAAATAAATAAAATCATGAATGAAAGGGGAGAGATCACAACCAACACCAAAGGAATACAAACAATTATAAGAACATATTATGAGCAACTATATGCCAGCAAATTAAATAATCTGGAAGAAATGGATGCATTCCTAGAGATGTATAAACTACCAAAACTGAACCAGGAAGAAATAGAAAACCTGAACAGACCTATAACCACTAAGGAAATTGAAGCAGTAATCAAAAATCTCCCAACAAACAAGAGCCCGGGGCCAGATGGCTTCCAAGGGGAATTCTACCAAACATTTATTTTTTTTTAAAGATTTTATTTATTTCTTCGACAGAGAGAGACACAGCAAGAGAAGGAACACAAGAAGAGGGAGTGGGAGAGGGAGAAGCAGGCTTCCCGCCGAGCAGGGAGCCCAATGCGGGGCTCGATCCCAGCACCCTGGGATCATGACCTGAGCCGAAGGCAGACGCTTAACCACTGAGCTACCCAGGCACCCCTCTACCAAACATTTAAAGAAGAATTAATACCTATTCTTCTGAAACTGTTCCAAAAAATAGAAATGGAAGGAAAGTTTCCAAACTTATTTTATGAGGCCAGCATTGCCTTGATCCCAAAATCAGACAAAGACCCCATCAAAAAGGAGAATTACAGACCAATATCCCTGATGAACATGGATGCAAAAATTCTCACCAAAATACTAGCCAGTAGGATCCAACAGTACATTAAAAGGATTATTCACCACGACCAAGTGGGATTTATTCCTGGGCTGCAAGTTTGGTTCAACATCGGCAAATCAATCAATGTGATACAATACATTAATAAAAGAAAGAGCAAGAACTATATGGTCCTCTCAATAGACTCAGAAAAAGCATTTGACAAAGTATAGCATCCTTTCTTGATTAAAACTCTTCAGAGTATAGGGATAGAGGGCACATACCTCAATATCATAAAAGCCATCTATGAAAAACCCACAGCGAATATCATTCTCAATGGGGAAAAACTGAAAGCTTTCCCCCTAAGGTCAGGAACACGGCAGGGATGTTCACTATCACCACTGCTATTCAACATAGTACTAGAAGTCCTAGCCACAGCAATCAGACAACAAAAAGAAATAAAAGACATCTGAATCGGCAAAGAAGAAGTCAAACTCTCACTCTTTGCAGATGATATGATACTTTATGTGGAAAACCCAAAAGACCACCTCAAAACTGCTAGAACTCATACAGGAATTCAGTAAAGTGGCAGGAGGGTAAAGGTATTTAAACCTTTAACTGGCTTATTTGCTGAAATACACACAAAATTGTCTTAGACACTTTCTTATAACTCAGTTAAACTGAACGTGAGCAGAGACATGCATGTTCAAGTTCATGCACAACCTGGAAATGTTGCTGGGGAGGCATCTCTCCCGGCATTTCCAGGATAGATGGATTTGGCCACGGTCTAGGGAGCCTCTCCATATACTTGGGCTCTGGTAGACCTCAGTTGAAAGCAAGCACATGGGTTTTTCATTGTTGTTGTTTTCTCCTTCCATAATAAATATCATTCTTTCCCACGGTCTCTGATTTCCTCTGGCAGAAAGACATCAGCTATCACTGTAGATACAGACCACAAGCTGTCATAGAAACGCAAAGCTATGAGGTTGGTCTCTCTCTGTGTCCCACTTCTACTTTATTTAAAGACAGAGTTTTGATACGTTTTCGGAGATCTCTGGAGCCAGCTACGTGTGTTGTTCTGCCACATCCAGACACCTACTTGTCAAGGCACTGAAGAGTGCTTTCTGACTCTAGCTTAAAAGGGGAAAGAGGGAGGAGGTGTGCAAGGAGATAATTCTTGCCTGTAAAAAATGAGTTGACTTTTCCAAATAAAATCTAAAATTGGCCATTGTCATTGTGTGATATTAACACCAGCTCTTTTGGCAAGCTTGAAAATACTGGGCTCCATTATAAAAGCTAAAAATGTCCTGGACCTGGAGTTGTTTACCCAGAGTATGAGCTGGTCTAAAGTTACAGAGCCCTGGTTGGAAGAGTGGCTTGAAGGCCGCCTCCAAGTAACTGACGTCACTATAGTCTCAGCTGCTGCTGCGACACTGAGCTGAACGGCTTTTTGACTTGTGAAAGGGGTGAAGGTTTCAAAGGGACTTGTCAGGACCGCTCTGTTGAATGGTTGGAGGGATTTTGCATTCCCATTTCTTGCAAAGAAGCAAGATTCACCGAGCTGAGACTTTCGTCTTTTTAAAAAAAAAACAAAAAAACTAGCTATTCTTCCACTGCTAGCTTGACCAGTGGTGGAACATCCATAGGATTTCTCCCCAGAGCAAAAAGGTATGTTTCTTTCTAGCAGTTTGAAATCGAGGGACTCATTGTGGCAAAATAGAGAGGGGCTGCTGCTGATGTGGTTTGAACTCTGGGCACTGTTGAAGCAGAGGGTTGGTTCAACATCTGCCTCTTTCAGTGTCTGTGTCTGGGCTTAAAAAGAGTGGGCGGGCTGCATAGTGGATTTTACTGACTCCCGGGAAAGAGAGGGTTCAGCTGCTGTGAGTGGGTTTCTCAACTCTGGACTGACAGTGACATCCACCCTCTGAAACTGTGTTTTTCAAACACTGCTTCTAAGTACTTTGAGCAGCACTTTGCCCGCCGTGGGATTTCACTAAACGTATTTATTAGAATGCTATTTTTCACCAGTATGAAGACTGTTTACATTTACAGAGGAAAGTTCACCCCCCTTGAGACTGTTGGTATTTGAAAATTACAATGAAAAATAAATGTAGTTCATTCAGGCTGATGGTTTGCTCACTCCGTGACTAGTGTTTCTGTCATTTGAGTGGAAGTGCGTGACATTCATAACCGGTTAATCTGCGGTTAGCGGGGAACATTACCATGACATCTTCTGTTGTTTAAGTTGATTAATTTTAGATACTTATTTACCCAAGCCAAACGTTTCTTTCAAAGGTTTTCTAAGTTAAGAGAAGTAAAATCAGTGCGTCTCTATCTCAGAAGTTTTCTTTCTTCTTCTTCTTCTTCTTCTTCTTCTTCTTCTTCTTCTTCTTCTTCTTCTTCTTCTTCTTCTTTTTTTTTTTTTGATCTTGGATGTTTTCTAGTGTGAGTGTATAACTAGAGAAAAACAAGGAAGGAGAAGATAATCAAATGAGAAGGCAAGAAGGATTTCTTCAGAATTGCATATAGTAGTATTGCTTTGGCCCTTTTGGAACATGAGGAACATGGTGAAATAACTAGAAATAGCAATGAAAAAATACTCCTTTTTGCCCTGCACGAAATCAAATCATGTTTGTCTGAAAGACACACTTGCTGGTGAAACAGTAGGGGAGGGATAAGGTCTGTTAGTTAGTGGAGATGATGCAGGTGATTTGTTAACAGCCTGGAGAAAGGGCTAGAGAGTCTTGGAGGCCAATGGTGCATAATGCTGGTGGGTGTGGGCATGGGAGTTCCCCATCCCTCAAGGTTACAGAGAAGCAAAGCATCTGTAGGACCAGTTCCACAATTGCTTCTAGGAATTGTGAGATTAACTGTACCTACTGTGTGTAGCATTCCTACATGCCTTTGTAACCTCCTACAAACGAAAAATCTTTGGTTATATGAAAAGTAGCATGTTTATGATTATATGAAAAGTAGCATGTTTAGAAAAAGGAACTAGGAGAGCAAGAAACAAATACTCAGAACAAAGATCTCAGAAGAGAGAAGCAACCATAGAGTTAGCTACCGTAACACTGTCTCTTTTGTTTGGCTGATGTCCAGTTTCCAATGGGGGGAATGGTGGTTAAAATGGTAATGACCAAAGTGTAGGAAGAGCAGAGCATTCCTCAGACAAGTGTTACCATGACCAAATTGAGGCTGATTTGGGACATTAATTTATTGTGAGACTCCTGAGTTGTTCTTAAATGCTGCTTGCTAGGAGGGCAGAAGATAAGCAGAACTATTTCCCTCCCATCACCAGGCTTAGGCTACCCACTCGCAACCCAACAATTCTGGCTTCCTGCTTCGGCCTCAGGGATGCAGAAGTAGGTTACACGGGTTATGTAATGCTACCTTAGCGTTGTTGAGGGGACACGTGCATGACTAAGTAATGCTGTTCCCTTGTTCCTTTTACATTTGCTCTAATAAATTTGTATTCTGAATGAAATTCTGCGTGAAGTGAAATGATACAGAGTTGGAGACAGAGGGAGGGATGCAGATCGCAGAAACCCTTCCTTCTCTCCCACATAGATGCCAATATCCGTGGGCGAAAAGAGTGACAACTAGGAACAAAGAGAACGTTTGTATCTGCCTCAGTAGAGAGCACTGAAATTGAGTTTTAGAATCTGCTGAACCACTTTACTCCATAACTTTTCATTATAGGACATTATGTCCCTACAAAGTGGCCCCATTAATTGGATTTTTAAAAATATTTAGGGAGAATTACAATAAAAGCAGTTTTATGTAAGATTTGTCTATTCCAATTTTTATTAATAAAAAATTGCCTAAATGTTCAGCATGCCATGTATTCTTAAAATACTTGAAAAATACTGAGGGCAAAAGAAAGTCATTGAAAATATGAGAGTTTGCAAAATTAGATTTGTTTCTATTAATTTTCTAATTAAATAAAGGTGAAAATCATCAGTTTTATTCCAGAGAAAGAAGACATAAAGAAGGGAAAATGAAGGCAAGGAAGGAGGGAGGGAGGGAAGGACAGAAGGAAGAAAACAAGAAACAGGCATTTATTGAGCACCCATTATGATTCAAAACCATGTGAGGCACTTCTATTAAGCATTCTCTCTCTTTTGTTCATGTAATCCTCACTACTACTCTATGGACCCCATTTTATTTCTGGAGGAGAAAGCAATAAATTCAACCATATTACGTTTGACATTTATGACACGACATAGATGCTAGGAAGGCCACATAAATCCTCCCACAAAAATTGGCACAGATACTGCTCTATAGGAATTTTCTTTCAAAGGCCTGTTTTTGATCCATAACCATTACATTTCCTGGCACTAGATTTTGCTCTGGCCCTGAAAAGGGGAAGCTCTGTAGATTGGCTCTGATCCATAGTAAGTGATGAGTTTGGCTCTTTGCAGTTAAGAGCAGGATTCTGTCTGCTTTGGGACCATTACCTGGGTTCATGTATAGTGCTGTTACAAGGAACAAGCCTGAGTTACGAGTTTTCCTGGATGATCTTCAGGTAGGTTTGTTTTTTTTTTTAAAGGAATAATCTGATGCCTTTTAACCTTGGTCTGGAAGTGGTTCAAAAAGAGTTAGCAATAGAAAGAAAAACTGGAGGGGTGCCTGGATGGCTCAGTTGGTTAAGCGTCTGCCTTGGGCTCAAGTCATGATCTCAGGGTCTTAGGATCTCAGCAGGGAGCCTGCTTCTCCCTCTCCCCTGCCCCTGCTCCTGTTTTCTCTCTCTCAGATAAATAAAATCTTAAAAAAAGAGAGAGAGAAAGAAAGAAAAAGAAAGAGAGAGAGAAAGAAGGAAAGAAAGAAAAAGAAAGAAAGAAGAAAAAGAAAGAAAGAAAGAAAGAAAGAAAGAAAGAAAGAAAGAAAGAAAGAAAGAAAGAAAGAAAAAGAAGGAAAGATTGGAGCCATTTGCTGTGTAATTGTAGGAGAAACTTCATGATGATTTCTGAATATTTCCAGTGCTTAGAAACAGGACGAAACATGGTGTGTCACAGCACCTCTTTTCCAGGTAGCTTGAAATTAGTCTGCTCCCTTTCTGTAATTTTCTTGGTTCCCTTTGCAACTATGTCTTGAGGTCTTAAACCACTCCACTCTCCCTAAGAAGTCCCAGTGTTAGGTACCTGTTAGTAAGCAAGAGAGTTTCAGCTCACAGTTAATTACATAGAGTTTTAAAGCAGTCTGCCAGTCAAACAACAGGCACCGCCTGCATTTCCTGTGAATAGTTATTAGATGAACTTAAAAAGATTACTATGTAATCAAGATTAATGACAGGTTCACCAAAACAAGAAGCAAAATGGTGTATATTCTTTACTATCTTCATTTTGTTAGGTCTTCATCGACGTATTTATCTGAGGCCGCTTGCTTTGGCTATGGCAGGGACTGTGGTCACCAGTCACTGGCTCACAGGTGTGGAAGGTAGCAAAAGGGCAGAAGGATGGACAGAGAAGATGGAAAATGAGACTAGAAAAAGAGCATGGCTAGGTAGATAAAAGGAGACATGAGAGCATCTCAAATCTGAAATTAACTTCTTTTGTTGACTGAATTAGTCACAGGATTATGACTGTCAAAGGAGTAGGTAAAAATGATGAAGCGTCTGTAGCAAATCGTTTAAGAGAATAACAATGTAGATCGCAATATTTATAAACTGTTTTTGAAGGTAGAGCCCTGCCTATAGTACTGACATTTTTTTATCCTTATTAGTCTATTATAATTCATTGATAGATTGCAACTCAAAAAAACACGTTTGGAGCTGTTTACCGCTTGGATATGCATGTTCAGAACAGTCTGATAAAAATAAAATTAGTCTTCAATGTTTATCTTACATTTGGGACTCGAAATACGCGGCCATCTTCTGCCGCTACTAAATGGGGCTTGCTGCGTAGTTCTGTCGGCTTCGTCCCACAGCTCCAGCACCCAAGCAGCTATTGACCCTGGGGGCACTGTGCACATAATTAGCCTTAGCCGCCTCCTGGTAAATTAACACATTCCAGTCATGGCCTAGAAAACTGAAGAGCTAGACTTCTAATAGACATAATTATCTTCGATGATGATTCAATCATTTTAAATATTCTTTTCCACCCACTAAAAAATATCAGTCTGTCTTTTTTTTATTTCTTTTTTTTAAAGTAGGCTTTACACCCAACGTGGGGCTTGAACTCACGACCCCAAGATCAAGAGTCACACACTCCCCCGACCACGCCAGCTAGGTGCTCCATATGACCTTCTTAATAAAAATTATTTTTAGTAGAGGGGCACCTGGGTGGCTCAGTCGCTAAGCGTCTGCCTTCAGCTCAGGTCATGATCCCAGGGTCCTGGGATCAAGCCCCGCATAGGGCTCCCTGCTCACCGGGAAGTCTGCTTCTCCCTCTCCCACTCCCCCTGCTTGTGTTCCCTCTCTTGCTGTGTCTCTCTCTGTCAAATAAATAAAATCTTAAAAAATATATATATTTTTTTAGTAGAAGTCAGACCAAGATTTTTTAAAGGGAAAATGTTTAAATTTCTCAAACTATTTTGCATACCCTATGTCATTTAATCTTTGTAACAACCCTTTAAGTAGCCTCCATTTTAATGTAAATAAACTAAGTCTCAGAAATTTTAGATGACTTATAACAGAGTTACCAATCTGATATTTTAAGTTTCATCTTCAGGGGCGCCTGGGTGGCTCCGTTGGTTGAGCGTCCAACTCTTGATTTCAGCTCAGGTCATGATCTCAGGGTCCTGAGATGGAGTCCCGCGTGGGGCTCTGTGCAGGGCGTGGGGCCTGCTTAAAATTCTCTCTCTCCCTCTGCCCCTGCCAACCGCACACATGCACCATCTAAATAAATAAATAAATATTAAATAAATAAATTGCCTCTTCAAACCCTAAATACACATACTCTAAATGCTAGAAATCTAAATATTTCAGTCACTGCTTACTGTGATCACGGATATCCTTGCAAACGAGCAAAGTGTTTTCTTCAGTGTTCTGTATTCCATAGCCTAAACAGATTCTTGTATATGGTCCATTCGAAGCAAAAGAGAGAATGGATGGCTTTGCTGATTTTACGGTTTACTTGATGAACTAAAATAACGAAAATATTTTTATGATTTAGTTTGGGTTTTTTTGCTGCTACATCAGTCTCAGACTGACTACCAACTCAGGGGTCTTATTAATACAGTCATCCCGTTTGGCCTGGGCTTGCAACTCTCAATGTAAAATGGAGACTGTGGTCCTGTACTGCTTCAGGACTTCAGTGCAAAGAAACACGATCTGGTTGCATCAAAACAGGAGTAATTCTGTTGCAACAGAATCTACCGCGGTTGGATAGGTACGACAATACGGTGGAATTTCATACTTACACTCTTAGTCACACAAAAATTCCATCTTTAGATTAGGTGGTTGGTGAAATGAATGCTTACATCTCACATATGCGTTTAGCTATAATTTTGCTGACTGATTTCAGAAAGGGGGAAGAACCCATTTGAGAAAGGGGGAAAAAAACCCTTTGGGCAATACTACTTTTTGACTGTGTTAGTTCTTTTTTTTTCCTTTTTTTAATTAAGTAGCCTCCATGCCCCACATGGAGCCCCATGCGGGGCTTGAACTCAAGACCCTGAGATCAAGACCCGAGAAGAGATCAAAAGTCAGTGTGACTTAATCAACTGAACCACCCAGGTGTCCCAACTTTGTTAGTTCTTCTTAAGCAGATTGTTAATCATCTCCTCTCTTCTTTTAAGTACAGTTTTCCTATAGTGTGTTTATGGCTCTTAACAAAATGATAACATGTTTCCAAAAAGCAAATGGATTTGGAACTCTTTCTCCTTATGTTTATATTAGGCTTTATTTTAAAGGCAAGTGAGACTGCTTCAAATAAAACAACTCCACGCTTCCAAGAAACAGTTAAGAAGGCAGAGACAAGCAGAAATACCCCTTCACTAACACTCACACGGTTGCCATGGACCTGCATAAGCAGTGGGAGAACACAGAAGCTAACTGGCACAAGGAAAAGATGGAATTACTGGACCAGTTTGACAACGAAAGGAAGGAATGGGAGAGTCAATGGAAAATCATGCAGAAGAAGATAGAAGAGGTACAAACTGATTTGTTTTGAATACACTGAAAGCTCAGAATGAAAATTCTCTTTGAAATTTGTGTTGTATTGAAAGCTGATTCTGTTTTCCTTATTCTACCTAAGAGATGCATGTCTCAATGACATTTACTAGACCAAAAATAGCAGAACCTTATCCAGTGGTATTGAAGGGACTAGGGTTTTTTTTTACAGCCCTGCATGAAAATTAAGAACTTAAAATGCCATTCTCAAGTGTATCAATTTATTATTTTCTGACTAAAGTGCCTTGGTATCAAAAGTGAGTTGCTTTTGTTTGTTTGTTTGTTTGTTTTTTGCATGAGTTTTCAAACACAAGGTCCAGGAGGAAAATATAAGAAAAACATAATTGGTGGAACATATATGAGCAAAATTACAACTGGGCATTAAAATACAGATCTTTCCTGAAATGATTTATGAATCAGGTCTACTAAACGAAATTACATATTAGATAATTCAGTATAGTCAAAAGGAGTGTCATATATCAACATGGCGGTGGACATGATATTTATTCTGGCAGAATGTGCCACATTTATTGACACATTTGTTAGGAAAGGGGTTATGAAAAACAACGTGCCATGACTCTGATACAAATAGTCATTTTATCCCCATTAAATCATCCCTGGCCTTGGAATATTTCCTTTAAGTATTTACATTGATGTATTTTTGAGCTGGTTTCAACTGAAAATTATTTCTACTTATCTTGCATTCTTCTAGTGACATCCATGTTGTCACATGGTTTGTGCACATTGCCAAAGTGATTCTTTTAACAGACTGTTTGGCCTTTATTCATAGGCAGTCAAAGCTGGTGCTTTATGTGTTTATAGTGTAAATATTTTTCTTATTAACAGCCATGTAATTGGTTGTGAATAAAATATAAATCAGCACGCTACGAGGAAAAATTTAAAAGAGTAACTATTAAACTGTTCCTGTAACAGAGCTGAGAAGGCAGGCATGTAGCGTATGATTCGACTGAAACGGAATCCACCGCTCATACCTCTGTAGTTGGAAAATGTGTTTCTTATTCTCTTAACTCCTCTTTATCCAAAGACTAAGGGTGGATCAACAAGGAGATGTCTAAGTCAAATCAGAATCCAAAACTCCAAACAGAAACCTGAATTCATGGGTCATTGTTTCCCAAAGGTTTGGAAGGCCAGATAATTCTAGCATCCAAGTGGGGCGCCTGGGTGGCTCAGTCATTAAGCGTCTGCCTTTGGCTCAGGTCATGATCCTAGGGTCCTGGGATCCAGCCCTGCATCGGGCTCCATCCCAGGGTCCTGGGATCCAGCCCTGCATCGGGCTCCCTCCTCAGTGGGGAGCCTGCTTCTCCCTCTCCCACTCCCCCTGCTTGTGTTCCCTCTCTCATTGTGTCTCTCTCTGTCAAATAAATAAATAAAATCTTTAAAAAAACAAAGCAAAAAAAATTAAAGGAGTCAGGATTAGCCTAGCCAATTGTTTAAGCCATGTGGCTGAAATAATCTGCTGTCAAGTTAGATATTTTATTGTCAAATAATTATTCTGACAACTCTGTAGATTCTGTCTATAGTAAATATTAGCCTTTTTGATGAGCATGCATTAAACGTATTTTAAACATAGGATGATAGTTTATAGAAATACTGTTCTCTCTGCATCACGAGATAGAAGGCTATAATACATTTTCTTCATCTTGGATAGTAGCCATGGTACTATTTATGTCTTGCTGCCTGCAATATTCAGCTCCATTACTGGGAGTATGTTTGAACAATGTGCTTACCCAGAATACCCATACATGATGCTCTTTCATACCTGAATACTAGCATTGTGCTCCCTTTATCATACTAATACATGTTTCTTTTCCACTCCCAGCTTTGTAGCCTATAGGAATGTACCTTTAATACATCTGTCTTATAGGCTACAAACAAGGGTAGGAAAATTTGAGGAAAACAAGAGGAAAGTATCCTCACATGTCACAGAGAATCAAGACATTTTTTAAACTAAAATTAAACATCAACACTTCAAAAAATTATAACATGCCACAAGCATAATAGACTGTATTTGTTTAACATATATCACTAAGTTGTGTGTATTAACTCGGACACAAGTTATTAAGCCATGTACTAAAGAATTGTGGATTCCCACATGTGCACATGTGACTTGGTTCCAAGAGATATCTTCCAGTGAGAGGATCCAGTGTTGAGTGTTAAGATGCTAATGATTCTTTGCTCAGCCACTATCCACAATCATTGCATTTGCTATTGCAAAACCCAGATGTATTTGAAAACTGGGGTAATCCAGATAGAAACCCTAGATAGACTTCCTAGGTTTCTGGGAATTCTTTTTTTTTTTTTTTTTTTTTTAATCACACTGCCATCTCTTCTGCTTGTTCTGTTCAAATGATCAGAGAACCATAAACAAGTGCTGGGTATGAAGTAACACAGATTTTCTTGTACAAAATAATTTGTTTTCTATCAATAGCATATTATTTGCTTATCCATACCTCACTTAAATCCCAAGAGAATTTAAGATGGTATATAAAATTTTACATAAGGTAAAGTATTTCAAAACAAACAAAATGCTGAGATGAAGACAGGAGGAAGGATCTTATGTGAATTGCATGCAGCAAGTCTCTCTTTCTAGTAACATAAAAATTAGCAGATTTCTCAATATTCAGAAGACAAAGGCAAACCTGTTTCCCAGGAATAGTACTTTTGTCCCTGATTTTGAAAATAAAACAATTTTGTTTTCACCCATAGCTCCTTAAAAAGAGGACAGTGTCACCATAAGCATCCTTAGGTTAACATGAACTTTTGAGGGTTACTTTGTATAATATCTCTCAAGGTCAGCCCAAATCATAATGCCCACAATAGGTCATAACGAGTAATTTTATGAGGGCCAAAACGATTGATCCATGGCTGTAATTTGATGCTATCCTGAGATCATCCAATGATAGATGTGTAAGTATCTATGGAAATATGTGTACTGCATAGACTTCAGGCGCCAACTATGCATAGTGCTTCTCTCTGAGATTTGGGTAAATATTGAACAACAATAAATCTGTTATTATACTCCTTGAAGAATAGATGTGGTGTAGATGTAAGTTGTGGCCGTAAAATGTAGTCATTTGCGTAAATAGTTATCTGACAGACTCCTTTGAAATTTGCCAAGCTTTCCCCCAGCTCAAGCCTAAAGAGAAAGGCCACTTACTTCCTCTATTTAGGGGTGAGTTGTGTGAGTGCCTGGAGGTAAAACTAAACTCTCATCAAGAAATAATTTGGGATCCACTTTAACATAGACTAATACATGATGGAAGCCTTAGAGTTCTAATATCACATAGGACAGGGTCACATGTGTTTTAATCAGGATGAGAAATCTTTTTTGAAAAAAAAAATCTCTTTTTAAAAATAAATCTCAGTAATACCGAGCAACATGTCAATAACACTAGCATAACTTCCAAAGGAAACATCCTTTGGTTGCACAATGTCCACTTGGGGAATGTAATGAACTAGCATACTATATGATACTGTCAAAATATTTAGACACTTCAATGTTGGCATGCAAGTGGAATCACATATTTTTAAAACATCACTTTAATATCAGTTAAATTCTTGCTTTTCTCTGAAAGCAATTAGAGAGCATGACCAGTAATTGATTCAGGACATTCCAACTTTGTTAACAGTGCTTCTGCATCATTATGACATGTTTCTACAGGAGCAGGTTTATTTTTGAATGAGTTTGATTTCTACGCAGAGGTATAGAGATCACCATCCATAGTTTGACCTACTAAGAGTAGTCCTTATGGTTCATCAGAGTTATTCTGGCTGATCAGGTTTTAGAAGTACTACTCAGAGGCATGAGCATTAATACCCCAGGATACTTAGTATATCATGATATGGCAAAGAGAACTCAAAATAGTGTGCTTCGTATTCAAAATGTTGACAAAGTAAATTAGGGGGAGAAAAAGTTTTCTCTTCGTTTTCTTTGCAGCTTTGCCATGAAGTAAAGCTTCGGAGGAAAATGAACATGGATGAACGTGCTAAGATCATCAGTCATGATCGTGAGAAAGCAATTCAAGATCAAGTGCTGGAATCTTCTCCAAATTACCCCAGTTCAGGACGATGTGAATTTACAAGGATGAATTACCGGGATGGTCTGGAAAAAGAAACTAAAACAGAGCAGAGCTTACTCTGTGAAGGAAATGAAATGTGTAAGGAACAAAAAGCAACAAAAAAATCAAAAGTAGGGTTTATGGATCCTTTGGCCACAGATAACCAAAGAGAATGTGAGGCGTGCCCTGGTCTGAGGACTTTGAGGGAAGAGGGCAGGAGCTGCTCTGGGGCCCTCAACTTGGTAAGTAAGATTGTGATTGGCCTAGAACTGTTTCTACAGAAATATTTACATTTCAAACTGCTAACATGCTATTGCTTATATGTATAAAGGCTCTTGAAGAACTTGCCAAAGTTAGTGAAGAATTATGCAGCTTTCAAGAGGAAATCCGAAAGCGGTCTAACCACAGAAGGTGGGCTGGTATATCTATGATTATTTTATATCAGAAAATCAAGAGAAATATTGTTTTCAGTGAATGAATCCAAACTGCCTCCTCTTTATATTTGGTTAGTGCGAATTAACAATGAGTTATTAAAATCTGTTATCTTAGATAGGAGATAAAGACTTTAATTGAATATTTCTCTGTTTACTAATTCCTAAGCCAAATCTTCTCATTCTCTCCGTAATTTGACTGTGAGGAATACTGCACTCTTTTGGTGTTTGGGGTTAAGGTACACTTTCCAGAACAAAGTAACAAGTACCTTCTAAATGTAGTTCTTTTCCATTTTGAGTGTTTGGCCAGTGGACGAGTATGCAGCAAGGCTAACCCAGTTAAATATATCTTAAGATTTAACAATGTGGAGTTTTCATTATATAATGATGTTCTACTGAAGTATTTTATACCTAAGAGTCATTTATTTCTCTACATTTATTATGTATATAGTGGAAGCATACATAATTCTTAGAACAACATATTCCAAATATGTATACACACATATACAGTGATATTTAAAAAATGCTGTTTCAGTTTAGAAGCACCTATATAATTGTAAAATTAAGTTTTCACCAAATTAAAAAATAAATTGGAATTCTCTGCAAGGTAAGTAAAAATGGATTGTTCTAGGATCAAGATATTTCTCCTAATGAGAGGTGTGTTCCTCTTAGAAACAGTAGCAGTGTGTACCCTATTTCTCTTTAGCTCTTAGGAAGCTCTGAAAGAATTTTTGTATTGACTTCCAATAGACTTTTTTATTCAACCATATTTTATATGTAACTTTACCCTCTACCTGCCCATTTTGCTTTTGCCTACCATTTTCTATTATTGAGAATAATTATCTACACTTTATTGTATTCTGTCTTGTAACATTTTACAAGCTGAAGAGATATAAATATGATTTATATTTATCAGTATGATCAATTTAATTTGTGAATTTATATTGTTGCTTTATTTAGGTTTTTTGTTTTGATTGAACTTAGAAAAGACTCACTTGCCAATTTTCTTTTACAAACCACACCTGGTATAAAGTTCTTCTTGCTCTTCCATACACTTTAGAAAAAAGCTCAAAATCCTTAGTGTGTAATTCAAATACATTACAATTGAACCTAATGTTTCTTTCATCCCTCCCACTCTGCTTTATGATCCAGCCATACCAAAGTACTCTCTATTACTTGAAGAGCCCACTATTTTTATTGTGGCTCACTTTGCCTATATGCCCTTTACTGACCCAAAAAATTCTTACTTTTGTTTCAAGCCCAAATGGCACCTTCCATTTGGTATTACTCATGTTTCACTGAGCTTGTATTCAGATTTCTGTCACACTTCTTAGTTTAGAATGTCATTTCAAATTCAAGAGAAGGAAGTTGAGCTCACATGACATAATGACTAGGCATTCAGTAGGTAGAGCAAAGGTGAGGCAATATGGTAGGAGAGAACCTGGAGAAAGGGAATGCCAGTGGCAGACACCCAAGAGACTACACAGTCTAGTCTGAGTGGAAGAGACAGTTTGGGAATATAATGGAAAGATAGCTTGGGTCAGAGCATGTAGACCATGAATGCACCACTGAGAAGTGAGCTTTATCCTACAGGAAAAAGGACTTGGAGGTTTTGACTAGAGAATTTATAGGAAAATGCTGTTTGAGGAAGTTGGGAGTCCTTTTCTTATTGCAGACATTCATTGCTTAAGCCATGGTTGCTTTTGAGAACTTGTCCTACAGCACCCAGAAATGGAATATTACCCGTACCTCAGAAGCCTTTCAGTCACTGGTTACCCTCTCTTCCAGCCCTGTGGGAAACATTTCCTGATTTGTAACATTACAGACCAATTTTGCTTGTTACTATAATTTATATAAATTAAATTTTGCTTGGCTTTTTAAATTTCAAAATTAAGCATAAAAATAATAGAGGGGTCTCTCTCTGAAGGATGCTTGCAGCTTTTTAGGAGAATTTGTGAACATTTTATTATCTAAATAAAAATGAGATGTAACAGTAAAGTGATTAAGGGGATGTTTAAGAGGAAAGGCGAAGATAGGCCAAAAGACAGTTGAAGTTTCAAACTCCTACTAATCTTACACCATTATTAGAAACAGCACTAAACAGAGTTGTTGGTGTTTTGTACTCTGTTACGTGGACACTTTTTCTCCGGGACCATTAGTAATTTTGAATCTTGGCTTTTTTCCCCAGAGCATGTCATCATTAAGGGCACAAAAGTGGAACTATATAAAATAACATATTTAATGTCATATAAATCTTCAGTGTCATAAAAGGAGTTGCCGAGAGAACTTGTCCTAAATAAAACTATCACTAATATGTCATGTTTTATAATTGTTTAGGATGAAGTCCGATTCTTTTCTTCAGGAAATGCCCGATGTAATGAATATGCCTCAGAGAGACCACATGATCAGCCATGGCCAGGGCATTCTTCCCATCGACTTAGAAACAGAAAAGCAGAAAAATAGAAAGAATCTAAGCACCACTGTACTCCAAAGCAACTCTAGGAAACCATGTGAGCTTGATACAGTTGATCTGCAAAGAAATGAAATTCCACCACTTCCACCTCCAAGAAGCACATCTCGAAGTTTTCCCAGCTCGTATTCCAAACAAGCTCATGAAAGTTTGGAGGGAGGCTCAGACCACAATAGCCAGATGGCCCAGGAGGGTCAAGGGAAGTGGAACTGCAGTCCTGATTTCCTTTGGAGGCACAATGAGATTCCTAGGCTGTGTCTAGATGAAGGGAAGACTTTGAAAGATGGTATCACGTTTCCTTCTTTGGCACCCAAAGCCAAAATAGATAACAAGCCTCCATGTAATGAAAATGTTGGACTTAGCATGTGGTCGTATGACACTGGGATCAGTGCAAAAAGTAGTCCCTCTCCATTGTGGTTTCAGAAAACCTGCTCGACTCCCAGTAAGCCACAGTGTGAAAAGATGATTCCAGATCACCCTACTAAATCTCATCCTGATCTTCATATAAGCAGTGACTGTAGCTCCTCGGTGACAGAGAGCAATGGCCCACTTAAAAGTTTCAGTTGTGGCTTTAAGAGAACAACTAGGAATGAAAAACTGGCAGCAAAGACTGATGAATTTAACAGAATCGTATTTAGAACAGATAGAAATTGTCAGGCAATACAGCAAAATCAAAGCTACTCAGAATCATCTGAAGATCATAAGCCCTGTGAGACCTTAATTACTCATACAGGTAACATATCAGAAAATGATAATGTGTCTGATATTCAGAAAACCAGTGCCCACGTGCCTGTGCCCGGAAAAAATGTGCCTGACAATCCCACCAAAATATCCACAACAGGCCTAGTCAGACAAATGCAGGAACACATGAGCCCCAGCAGTTACCGGAGTATGCTCCAAGAGCATGACTGGAGACCCAGTAATTTGTCTGGCCGGCCAAGATCAGCGGATCCTAGGTCAAATTATGGTGTTGTGGAAAAGCTGCTGAAAACCTATGAGACATCAACAGGGTCTGCATTGCAAAATTCTAAATGCTTCCAGGATAACTGGACCAGATGTAATTCTGATGTCAGCAGTGGGCCCACGTCAAGTCAGCAGTTAGAAAGACTTCAGTTGGAACAAGAGTTTCAGCAAAAGCCAGCTATGTGTGGAGCACAGCAAGTAAAGCGAGGAGTAGATTGGAGAAAGATAACAGAGGTGAGAAAGCAATTAACGTATGTTGGGAGAACTGCATCCATATGTAGCTCAGAGTTCAGTCAATTGCCCATATATAAATAGAATGGAGGCACATGTTTTGGCATCTTCTTAACTTCTCGACCCTTTATTTTTGAGTAAGTGTAAACCTTAGGATTGTAACTCAATATGAACTTCTTAAGATACAGTTTTTTAAGATTGGGAATAGTACATTGTAACTTCTTTAAAATTCTGAAATGGGACAACATAAATAAAATAAATGGACTCAAGAACCTCAAGAAGATCCAATGTTTGTTGTAAGTTTCTTTCTTGAAAAAAACATTCCAAATGCACATTTATTGGTTTATAGAATTTTATTCTTTTAGTGTTTATATTTTAAAAAGAGTATTGGAAATATTTTAAAAATAATTTCTTGCACTTTTCAGTTATTGGCTATGATTGGTTCAGTCATTCCCAGCATTTGATTCATGTTCTTTCTCATGGGATTAGTCACATGGATGTGACTATGGGTCTAGCACATCATAAAATAATGCCTCATAAAGTTCTTTTATTTGTGGAGCGAAAGGCAGTACATGGAAATAAAATGATATTATAGCTTAAAAATGTTTAACGTCATTCTTATTTGTGTAAATTCCTAACATGAAAATTGTCCCTCCCCCAAAAAATAAACTGTTATTCTTTTTTTGTTCTAGTCTGATTGCAAAAGAATATAGTTTTCCTTAGCTATAGGAGGAAAAGATGTTGAAGAGATTGGTATTTACAACAAAGAGCTATCCAACAATCCCTTTTTATGCATAATTTACAAAAAGTTACATGGTGACAGATTGTTATAATTAGCTAATATTTCAAAAAATCATATTTTTGCAAAATGCAGTGTGTTTGCAGTATAGTTTTAAGCTACGCAGGTTGCCTCCTTCTGGTGTGAAAATTATTTTTATGTGGCTTTCAACCCCATAAAAATACCAGTTTTTATCCATTTTACCAGAAACCTTGCCTGTTTGTACAAGGTACAAAACCCTGATTTTGTATTTCTCCATTTTTTAGTTGAGTTCATAAGTACATGGGAAGCCCTACAAGCTTCAGATGGCAAATGGAAATGTATAAAATAACCAGTTAAATATTCATCAGCTACATTTTTGCATTGGTTGGGGGTTTGGGAGGGGCCCTCTACCGTAGATTCTTAAGAGGAGTTCTTCATCCCCTCCCTCACCCAGCTGCGGGAGCAAATCTAAAAAAGTAAGATTCCAAAGAGAGAAAAATAAATTGCAGGTTATTGTCATAGAAATAGAGGCCATCTTACTACCCATCTCAGATGAAAGAGCATAGGCTTTGTTAAGAAAGTCAATAATAATACTGGTATAAAATGTGTGGTGGAAACTTTTTAATTTTTTTTTTAACTGCAAGTGTCTAAGAATGTTTTTCTTCCATTAAAATAGAAAGAAAGAAGACATGAAAGAAAAGGAAGGGACAGGAAGGAAGAGGTTTTAAGTCATCCGATGATGCCCAATATAGATAATGATTTTGTATTAGCAATTACAATGAAGTTATATTTTGAAGTATTTTAGTGATAATTTTGAAACTTCTGAGAAATAGTATAGTGGTTCTTGGTGGGGAAAAAAGATAGCATCAGACAAATCATTTGGTGATCTGTGTGCCTTTCGCTTAATGACCTCTGAAAGTGCCAATAACTTGACATAAATGAGCATGGTTTCTTCTATAAATTATTATCTTTTTGTATCTTTTGTAACTGTTATACATCCCACTATCGCACTGAGAAACATCTATAATTCCATCATCAAAGTTATCTAACAGAAACTTTTGAATCCTGAACTCATAATTAGCTGTAAAAAGAGATCAGTTGTATTAAAATTTGGCAGTGTGAAAAGACCTACAAGATTATCAAATGCCATATTCCTTATTAAAAGTGAGTTGCTTTTGATTCAAGACCACAAATATTAGACAATTACCTTCTTCAGTTATCCATGCTTCTACTTGCTTGTAAATATGCTAATACATTAACCTTGTAGGTGGGATCCATAATATATATTCAGCCCATTGTTGGTGCCTGTATAGTGAAATGGATGTCTTCCTTTGTCTCTTAGGAATCCATGGCAGTGAAATCTCCACATGGAAAAGGGTTTTCCCGACCTGCTAGACCAGCAAATCGCCGTCTCCCATCTAGATGGGCCTCGAGGTCTCCATCAGCGCCCCCTGCCTTGCGGAGAACTGCCCCTAGCTATACCATTTCTCTGCCATCTGCAGCATCGATGGTCTGAGTCCCTGGCCTGGATTGCTAGATGACAAAAGTCCTAATTGCCAAACAGAGCGTTCGGAGTGTTTACAGCCAATCCTGTCTCTTCTCTGTCTTTCAAGATCACTGGGACAAACAATTTAAATCTTAACTTCTCATCAGTCTTCAGTGTTTTTAATCTATGGAATAATTATCTTCCTGTATTTTGATTTCTTAGATCAGAATTTTTTAATGCCATCCTCATTAATTTGCCAATATGATTTAAGTTGAAACAATGTACTATATTGTATATTCTAACTTTCTTGCAAGTGGCAGAAAGCAAGGTTATGTGCATGGCCATGTGTTTGTAGATGCATGTGTTGAAATAGGAAGTATCCTAGTACGTATTTAGATAAGAAAAACGTATGTGCTAGTGTTGACTTTGAAATTATAACATGTAAACCTATGTATCTTTCTGTTTATTTAAAATTTTTGAAAATATACAGTACTATTTATATTTTGTATACCTTTTAATAGGTATCCACTTAAGGCATTTGAGGTACATATATTAACTAACCACTTTCTTGACCCCAACTACATTGAAAAATAAGAATTGTACACATTAATAACATTTGGTAGATTTCTAAATACAACTCATAAATAGTTTCTTAACTGATGTAAGGATGGACTAATATCATTAATCTCCTTGTTTACTCTCTTAAATAAATAAAATTGTCACAGGTTTAATAGTTCAGGCTTCTAAAGCAAACATAAAATGTTCACAAAATCTTTTGTATATCATTCGGTAGTCTATTATGGCTTTAACTGAGTACTTGATCCCCAGAGCCATATCATGAGACTGCCTTAGACACAACAAGACTTAAAAATGCACTTACTTGGAATCCTTAAATAGGATATGAAAAGAAATTCAGTTATGTTGAATTCTACTTTTTTGTTAAATTGTATAGATTTTAGTTAAGCTCCTTTATTTGAAGGCATATTTAGAGGTAAGTCATTTCCTTTTTCTTTTTTCCAACTTTTCCCCAAAATTAGTAGGTAAAAAACTGATTCACTGTTTTTATTAACAAGAAAGATTAGGAATGATATTTGATTGAGAGCTGAATTATAATATATTTCTTATAGTGTGCTACATAAAAAAAAGCCTTAAACTAAACTTTGGCATCCATGAGTAGCATAAGGAACAGAAATGTGTATTTTGGCCACAATTTGCTTCCAGTGAACACATAAGATCTATGTTGAGACTGAAGGAAGTATGAATGTTGAGGTGCTTGGAATTTTACATGGAAGATCTTTAGAAGCAACTTTGCTCTCCATTGTCTCTCTATAAAACCAACTTTGGTATTAGATATGAATTCTATTTAAGTTTTTCTTTTACTACCAGAAATGTTAAGAAAGTCTAGTGACATAAGTATTCAAAGACCTTCTTCTTATGATATATTCTAACAATTAAGAAAAACTCATTGCATTATACATCATGACCTGAGGTAAAGTAAATAATTTCCAAATCCCAGACTGCCTTAAAAGGCTCGAGACTGTTTGTTGTGTGGTGATAGACAGATTCATGCTTCCCAATAAGGAAAGTTTATAGGAGTTGAGATGAATTAAACTTCTAGAATATGAAGTTGGAGCAGATGATAAGGAAGGGCTAGAGATCCACTCTTTTCTGGAATAGGTTGAGGAGAATAGGTTTAAACTCTTCTTTAAATATTTGTTAGAATTTGCCTGTGAAGCCATCTGGTCCTGGACTTCTGTTCATTGGGAGTTTTCTGGTTACTGATTCCATTTTTTCTGCTGGTAATTGGTCTGTTCAAATTTTCTATTTCTTCCTGTTTCAGTTTTGGTGGGTTATATGTTTCTAGGAATTTATCCCTTTCTTCTAGATTGTCCAGTTTGTTGGCATGTAGTTTTTCATAATATTCTCTTATAATTGTTTCTATTTCTGTGGTGTTTAGATCCACTCTTTTAATTCTTGTTTCTTTCAGGAATATCTTTTTCCATAGGAAACCTATCAAAGAAAAGTAACCTAGACACCAAGTCATGTCACTTATATTATATGCTTTTCATGTAGAAGGGTGGGGAGGAAAGGGAAGTGGTAGCCTGTGGCATACCATAATGGTCCTGTTAGGAAGATGCTGCTATGTGGTAGTCTGTGGCATAACCGTGATGGACCCGTTAGGAAGGTGCCGCTATGTTACACTGGAGAGACTGCCCAAGAACTGGGCAACATACCTGCTCCCCTCCATCACTATATCCCAGGTAGTCTGATGTGGCTCTATGGTTCCTACCTTTAACTACAAGTCAAAATATTGAGGATCTCTTTTCAAAAATTAGGTTCCTGACCTCATCCCATAATTACTAAAGCAGAATTTCCAGGGGTACAGAGGGGGATCTGGAGTCTAATAAAACAATAACAACAACAACAAAAAGAAAGCAAAATATTTGATGATTAGAGAGATTTGGAAGCAGTGACATTGATTGATGCTCAAATAGATGGGCACCATTAGGTAGTCATGTTACTTCCCTGGGACTTGCTTTTGTTACCTGTAAAATAACAGGGTTATTTTATCAGGCATACAATTTTAAGTCACCTTTTCTATTACTACTTGAATGAAACAGTGGGACACATTTTATGGGACACATTTTAACTTCTTCCTATGTTGACTAAAATCATAGAATATTAGAGTTGAAAAGAAACTTAGTACCTAGTCCAACTACTTGATTGTAAAGACGAGGAAACTAAAAGGTTATTGAAATATTCTGTTTTCTCTTTTAAAATATTTTATAATTTTTTATGGGAAAACCTATCAGGTAAATGGAAATTATCCTTCAAAAATATTTTTTTATGTATTGTGATTTTTAACTGGTAGTTTTTCTACTTTGGATGGGCATTTTCTTCCCAACAACATACCCTTCATTATGCCATCATTGCTGGATTTAAGACGTTTGTAAACATTTCAGACATATTTGATTAGAAACACTTGTATTAATAGAAGTTTTGCTGAGCAGACTTTTTGGGGGAAAACTCCTATATTATTTCAACTGAGGAGTCTGATCTCAGAAAGGAATAAGAACAAGGCCGAAAAAGTGCTTGAGTTTTTGTGCGTGGGCTTGTGTGTGTGCACATGCACAACCCTTGCACGAGTTCTCTATGTTGCCTTATCACCAAAGCCAAATATAACTTATGTTTGCATAATTCACTTATCAAAAATTAACCTTAACTTTCATTCATTTTTACATAGACAATGAAGATGATTAGATACTATCATGCATGATTTACCTTTACGAGAGAATGTAGTCAGACTCCATGTCATCCTGAGAAAATATCTGGACCTAAGAAAGAGACTCTGCTTCCCTGCAGAGATTTTTAAAATTATTTTTAGACACATTTGCTGACAAATAACTACTTGATATTAGAATCTCCTTCAGTGATTGGAAGTTACCGAATAAAATAGGTGTGGAGACAGCTGCTGTGGCATGTGTGTACCTTGAGAATGTTTTGATTTTCCTCCTTTTCTATAGCGATCTCCAGGAGCTTAAGCTGAAAGTTTTATGAAGTCTAAACTCAAATATGTCCACAGTTTGGCCTAGCTTCTCCTAAGATATCTCTACATAATAAAATCTAAAAGCCTGCATGAATTCCTGCACCCAGCCACACATAACCCCAAATAGCTTCTCATACCCTGATAACCACTCTGCCCACTTAAACCGTTTATTGAATCTGATTAATTTTTGTTTGAAAAAAGGTTACTCCTCTGAAATTTGCCTTTATATGTGAAGTGAGTTTAATTATTTTAGGTAGGCTCAGATTTCTATTCTAATATTATTTTGCTTCAAATTCTGCATGTTTCTTCTTAAGTAGCAAGTATCTTTATTAGAATGTACAACTATGACTTACTTGTTTAATATAGCCCAGAATATGCTCTTTCAAAAAATGGGCTTCCTTAAGTAAAAAATTAAAGCAAAACAAACAAAAAACCAAAGTTGGGGTGGGCAGTTTTCAAGCAAGTGTCTACTCAACATTTTTTACTGTAGGAATTTTTCTTATCATAGAAAATAATTTTCGTTCCAATGGGAAAAAGTCAAAAGACTTAAAATCTGGTACATATTACAATGATCTTTTGAATCCGACATGTATGATTGGCAAATTCTGGAAAAAAATATTCTGCTTATATGAAGTTACGATGGAGTCTAGGAATAGAGAAGAGTCTAGAATAGGAAGGACCATAAAAGTCATGCAGAATAATCTCATGGAGAGGAGAGAAACCCGGAACTCAGAGGTGTGTATGACTGCCAAGTTTACAAGGATGGGCACCACGGTAGGCTCCAGCACCAGTGTCTTGCCTCCCTGTATGCCTGTGTGCATCTAAGACTTGATGGTTTGCAATGCACACTTCTATTCCTTGACTCGTTGACTTCTTCCAACAAACTTCAAGGCAGACTTTGTGATTTCTAATTACAGATGGAAAAATTAAATAACCAAGATAATAAATATTTCTCAAGAGAACACTGAGAAATAAATAGGTGGTTCTACAGACTCCTCATTCCGGCTCTTTTCCAAAAAAAGAGGAAGAGGAAGCAAAGAGTGAACAGTTCTTTTTCACTTACATTTTATGCATGACAAGTTGTTTATTTTGATTTTGTTGAGAGTTTCTCTTTGTCTATTAAATTAGCAGTTTTTATTAATGAAAATTCACAGTGTTGAAATATAAATTCACGACCATCAAAGGTGATGGTGTAATTGGCATATGTAGCAAGAACTTTTTAAAGGTTCTATGCTTTTTTTTTATTATGTTATGTTAATCACCATACATTACATCATTAGTTTTTGATGTAGTGTTCCATGATTCAGTGTTTGTGTATAACACCCAGTGCTCCATGCAGAACGTGCCCTCTTTAATACCCATCACCAGGCTAACCCATCCATATATGTTAAAAAGAAAAAAGAGAGTTTCTCTTAATTTTGGTTTTCAATCTTCTTAACCAACGTTCATCATGATTTATATGGTTTCAAAAGATAGTATTAAAGAAGTCATGAAGAAGGCTCACTTTATCAAAATATGTTTCATTTTTTGGTGCCTATGCTCCAATATTGTATAAATTTTGTATGTGGGCCAAAATCTTGAAGGTAAACTAATAAGTAGCCAAAGCAATCCTCATCTGTAATACCGAATGAATCCTAATCTCTTCACCCTTCAAAAGAATCACACAAAATTTTCACACTATATGGCTTAAATGTACTCCAGAATAAATGAGAACATTTCCCTTGGAGGTTGCAGTTATTTCCAATTTATAATCTTACTCCAAAATAAATTGTATCTGCCAATTTCTTTTTGAGGCTTTATTCTCCAATTAAATTATTTACTTACGTAATTTTATAAAGATCATTAAACAAATTCAATGTAGCTGTTTGGGATCTGCAGATTTTTCTTTCTATATAATGCCGTTCAGCCTCAAAATAATGCTAAATTATCTAACCTGAATTATATATTTTAAACTTTGCACAAAATTTTGTGTTACAGTTAACCCAGTTAAAAGATGCTCTGAATTAATGCTATCCGGAGTGAAATAGTTAATCCACAATGAACGCCAGAGAACCATTTACATTATTTTTGAAGAAGTTACATGTTGGAGTAAAAAGAAGCAATAGTTTCTATATGCTAAAATTCAGGAGGTAAATTATTGGGAATAAAGATTCTTCCTAGGAGATCCCAGGCAAGGAGAGAGGAGCTGAGACCAAGCATGCCACCTTGTTAAAAAGGAAACTGGTGGGGGCATAGCCCAGGGAGCCAAAGCTACATGAATTCATGACTTAATCAGCTCAGCAAAAGCAAGCACTAGGTTTTCCCAGGCAAATTGAGGGCCTGGGGAAAACCCAACAGCAACTCCCGGGGGCACCATGCTTAGGATTCAGGCAAGTGGTCATCTTTAAGGAGATTCTTCATAAGACAGCTAAGGACCTGAAACTGAGGCCAGGGCCAGGGTAGGAATGAAGTGATCAGGGAAGGAAATTGTCAAAAGCAAGATACTAGATCAAGAAGCCTTGTCCTGGGGACCAACGTGTAGGGAGGTTAAGAGATGCAGCTCGAGGTGGGCCGGAACATTTCCAACAGGAATAGGAACAGAGAGGTCTTCACCAGCACACCAAACCTTTACTGACATTGGGAGCTGAGCAGACTTGGACAGCAAGTAAGGGACGCACTAATTTCTAGCAGGCAACCAGCGGTGTAACCACCACAAGGCTGAAACACATGGAGGGTCAGTACAGCTTGAGCTCTCAACTGGAATATTTTGAAGAGCTAGAATTGATAGGAGGCCATCAGAAGACTTCTCTGTGAAGAATTTAAAAAGACAGGTAAAGATGATGACATGTAGAAGGATATTCTTTGCTCTCCACCTTTGCTTGATTGTTTTCTTGTGACTATATCAGCAGAATCTAAAAACCTCATCCAGAGAGCCTCATAAAATAAGCCACCCACACCTTCATATAATAGACCATGAGAGCAAAATGAAGTATCCCAGAAATGGAAAGTGGTGTTCTTCTCCAATTGTAATATAAAACAGGCACATGATCATGGTATCTCCCCTGCCAGGTAAGTATGCTGAGCGAAATAAGTCAATCAGAGAAGGACATGTATCATATGACCTCACTGATATGAGGAACTCTTAATCTCAGGAAACAAACTGAGGGTTGCTGGAGTGGTGGGGGGTGGGAGGGATGGGGTGCCTGGGTGACAGACATTGGGGAGGGTATGTGGGTATGTGCTACGGTGAGCACTGTGAATTGTGTAAAAATGATGAATCACAGACCTGTACTTCTGAAACAAATAATATATTATATGTTAAAAAAAGAAGAAGATAGTAGAAAGGGTAAAATGAAGGGGGCGGAAATCGGAGGGGGAGACGAACCATGAGAGACTATGGACTCTGAGAAACAAACTGAGGGTTCTAGAGGGGAGGGGGGTGGGGGATGGGTTAGCCCAGTGATGGATATTAAAGAGGGCACGTATTGAATGGAGCACTGGGTGTTATACGCAAACAGTGAGTCATGGAACACTACATCAAAAACTAATGATGTAATGTATGGTGATTAACATAACATAATAAAATTAAAAAAAAAATAGAACCAACCACTGGAAAAAAAAATGAGATAAAACAGGCATGTAATCAAAGAGGAAGCCCATTTTTAGAACTTAGAAAATCACACACTTGTTTGTATGTATGACGTGGGTGAGCATAAGGAATCCCCAAATTGCATCTGAGAATAGAATTTTGTCTCAAGGAAAAAGAAATGCAATGCGTTTATAACTAAAGGCAAAACTTAATCAGCTACTCTGAGCACTGTCTGAATGGAAAGGAGATGGGCTGCACGGAGCCAAAGAAAAATAGCCCGAGTGCAAGAACATTTAGTATTCCACTGCCATCCAGTGGAAAAGGCCAGGATTTGAAAAGATGAAATTCCTGGCTGGGGCCTAGTCCATTCTGTCTTAGGAGGGGTAGGTCCCCCCAGCCTGATTTGTACCACACAGATAGCCCTCAAGGTCAACCAATTCCAACAGCTCACTTTTCCCACTTGCATTCAAGCAGCCTTCTGAATCTCAAATTAATTACCTAGGTATTTACAGAAGTAAAAGAGTATCTAGACCAGTGTTTCTTTGACGTGTCAGGAAGTTCTCTAATAGAGAAAATAAATAGGTATCCCAAGGTCTGGGACGGTGTCTATAATTCTTGAATTTTGGAGGGTTGTAACTTGAACATTTTTCAGCTCTTAAACAAGGATATTTTCTGCTTTATTCGCTGATTGTGCCAAGAACTTAGTAAAGTGTCAGCAAATAGTAGGCTCAATAAATATTTGTTGAATAGATTAATGCAAATCTTAAATGCTTTAAGTGTTTTGCTATCAGGGAAAAGCAAAAGGTTTTCCTCTCTGCTTCCTGATTTAATCACAGCTGGTAATGTGCTTATTTTATAGAATTGAGGCAATCTGAATTTACATGGATAGCAATTTCTCTTCTTGACATAGTGTCATTGTAATTTGAGACCATGAATCCATTTAAAAATGTGCATACAAATCAAAATAGTTTTTCTCATCGTTGGGCAAACTTTATAAGCATAGTAAGGTAAGAGACGCTTGCTGGTGGAAATTTTAAGTATCTTTTAGCTGAAAAGTTAAGTGACTTATGTCATAGAAAATATTGTGAGGATGTCTCTTTCATTGTCTTAAGGGGAAAATAGTTAAAGGGCCTTTTCTTTCTTTCTTTCTTTTTTTCTTTTCTTTTTTTTTTTTTTGAAAAGGCAGACTGCCGCGTGCAACGTCTCATTTGGATGTGATGTGTCTGGAATCTTGGAAGCTTGACTACCCTGCGTTCTCCTACAAATGGACCTTGAGAGCTTGTCGGGGGCTTCAGAGTGCAGCCACTCTTATACCCTTGACTGAAGACAGGTCCACCCGTATAGTGCAAGTTCCACCGAGCATGCAGCTTCAGGAGGGACCCACAGAGAGAGGTGAGGGAGGAAGGGGACACCACCTACCCAGCCAGATCAGCCAAATCAACCCTGGTGATCAATGCGGTGACAGATGTCACAGCCAGATTGCCCTCACACCCTGAAGAGCCTTTTCGAAGGAAAAAAAACAAACAAACATTATATGAGCTAACTTTTATCACACATAATTGAATTAAGTTTCCAAAATTTCATTGTTAATAGTCAACTCATGACAGCTCTCACACTTTAATTCTGCTGTGTTCTGTCACACCAGTGAAAGCTTTTACAATTTCACTTCTGTAAACAATTCACTCTTCAAGTGTTTTGCTGAATAAGCCAACTCTGAGAACTACTGTTTATCATTAGGTAAAACCACAATTCATCGTTTAACCCATGTTTTAGCCATTGTTATAATAAGTTTTTAATTCTCCATTAAAAAATAATTTCACTAAATTGAAAATTTGATGAGCATTTTCCTCTGCTTAAATCAGCACATATATATGTCAAATAGCAAGTTTTCAAAGTCATTTCCCATTTCCTTACAAATTTATCTAAAAAGATAAGCATCTAAATAATTATTTCTGCAAATTTACAACAAAAGCCAGCATTTTTTTTTTTTTTGCCAGTCCGTTAATATGCAAGGTAAATCAAGAAGCAAACTCTGAGAGGAGATACTATTGATGGGCTGCTACAGGGCGGCTGATTCATGCAAAATACCAATGTCAGCATCATAGATTTTTTTCCCTGCGTGCATCCATTATGTGTTTTCCCACTCATTAAAAGTAATTCTCCAGACACCTGGGTGGCTCAATTTCCGCTCAGATCATGATCTCAGAGGTCTTGAGATGGAGAACCATCCCCCCCACCGCCCATCCCACCGTGGGGCTCTGTGCTTAGCCCAGAATCTGTCCCTCTACCTCCCCGTCTGTTTCCCCTTTAGGGTGTATGTGCATGAGCACATGCTCTCATTCTCTCTCAAATAAATAAATAAAATCTTTTTAAAAAGTAATTCTCACATATCTTTTAAAAATTATTTTTACTGGCTATTTTACTATAAAGTGTCCTTTTAGAATTACTGGGCAAAAGTCAGTAACTGATCAAATAGCTAAATTGTTAGTGTCCATGCTTTCCAACTTAAGATAAAGAGCAAGGTTAGCATTCATCTCTCAACCAGTACATTCTAAGATAGTCTTTTGAAGTGTTAGAACTATTGAGCACTAGTCAGTATGGGTAACTTTTTCACCTCTTTTTAATCTCCCAAGAGATTTGACCATAACTGTAGCATGGAGTTTTACCAAGACTTTTTTTTTTTAATTTAAATTGACTTTAAATTGACCATCAAGCAATTTTGTCTTTTTAAGTGTGCTTTTCATACCTAGCCCATATTGTTGTTTCCTTTTTGGTGCAACATTTTCTGGTTATTTGAATGCTTCATTTTTAATGTTACCCAAAAAAGCAATGATGGTTTATGCAATTATTCTCAGGGTTTTATCCACTAAGAGATATAAAAGATTAGACGTTTGGCAGTGCTACAATATTATAGCTCATATTTTAAATATGCCTCTAAGTATATCCTACTATTTTTAGATGGCAGCTACCTACTACCAGTTCAGTAGTGAAGAGAATGGTCTATGATCTTTTTTACCATCAGTTTCACTGGTAAGGCTGACTAATGACTCCCAGGTGTACTAAAAATTTCTAACGATCTTTCCTATTTTACCCAACATCCAGCTTGTGATCCAAGCTTCCTGTATTAAATCATATAATGTATTTCCTGTTTGAAATTTAATTCTATTTAAAATTATTGTACCTTAAGGGCCTTCGGCTGGGGTCGTGATCCTGGGGTTCTGAGATCGCATTGGGCTGCCTGCTCTTTGGGAAGCCTGCTTCTCCCTCTCCAGCTCCCCCTGCTTGTGTTCCCTCTCCTGCTGTCTCTCTCTCTCTGTCAAGTAAATAAACAAAATCGTTAAAAAAAAATTATTATACTTTAAATGTATCAGTGAAAAAAATGGTAACATCACATACACAAGTACAGACTTTTGGAATACTAATTTGCTACTGGTAGAAAGTAGAACTAAAAGAAATCAAGCACTTGCAAACAAAATATATAATGAGAATAATTGTTAGAAATCCTTAAGCTCTATTTTGGAATCAATGACTTGCCCGGCTGGGGGTGGAGGTACAGTGGTATAATCTAAAGTTTAAAAACAAACACTGATGGGACGCCTCAGTGGCTCAGTCGGCTAGGCATCTGCCTTAGACTCAGGTCATGATCTCAGGGTCCTGGGATGGAGTCCCGCATCAGGCTCCTTGCTCAACAGGGAGCCTGCTTCTCCCTCTGCCTGCCACTCCCCCTGCTTGTGGGCTCTCTCTTTGACAAATAAATAAAGGTTTTAAAAAAAACACTGATTGCTACAATAACAAAATAATTTCTCAAAAAAATGGCTGTGCAAGTCCCTGATGACACATGAAGAAATCACACTTTGAAGCTTTTCCACTCCAGCAGTCAGTCTCATGAGCAACCTTAGAACATTTTATTCTTCTAGTAGCATGTCCAGATTAATTTCTTGGAACTGCAATATTGGCTGTACTTTATTCCCCCCAGCACAAAGTTACCAAATTTTTCAATCAACAACTGTGCATGAAAACCTTATGCTTTCTGGGATTACACAAAATCAACAAAACATTCATCCAAAAAAAAAAAAATGTAGACTTCTAAATTTTCATTTTTTGGCAAATAGAAATCACAGTTTTTTATGCTTTTTATCTTGAAATATTAATAGTTTCATGGGAAGATGAGAAAATAGAATGAGTCCCATGCATATTTTACCTAGTCTCCCCCGGTGATGACATCTTATGAAGCTGTAGCATAAAGTCATTGACATTGGTACATGACTGTTTTAAAACTTGCATTCATTTGTGTGTGTGTGTGTGTGTGATTCTATGCATTTTGCCATGTACAAATTTATATAATTGCCACTACAATCAAGACAGAGATTTTCTATTACCACAAAAGAACTCCCTGTGCAACCTCCTTGTATTTGTGTCCATCTCCCATATTCCCCCTGTCCCTGAGCACTGGCAACCACTCATCTGTCCATCTCTGTAGTTTTATCATTTTGAGGATGTTATATGAATGGAACCATCACAATATAACATTGTGAAATTGACTTTTTTTCACTAAACATAATGTCTTTGAGGTCCATCCAGTCATTTGCATATATCATTATTTCATTAGTTTTTATTGCTGAGTGCTATTCCATTGTATGGATGTCCTAGAGTTTGTTCAACCATACAGCCCTTTAAAGACATTTGAGTAGTTTCAAGTATTTTACTATATAAATCACTCTGAACATTCTTGTACAAGTTTTTGTGTAAACATAAATTTTCTCTGGGGTAAATGCCCCAAAAGAGTACAATTGCCGGGTCATAGGGTAAGTGCGTAATTTAGTTTTGTAAAATCTGGAAGACTATTTCCCAGAGTGGCTGTGCCATATTATATTCCCCACAGCTATGTGTGAGAAATCCACTTTCTCCCCATCCTCACCAATATTTATAATTGATGTTTTTCATTTCATTTTATTTTTTAAAGATTTTATCTATTCATCTGAGACACAGAGATACAGAGAGAGAGAGAACACAAGCAGGGGGAGCTGCAGAGGGAGAAACAGTCTTCCCGCTGAACCAGGCGCTCGATGTGGGGCTTGATTCCAAGACCCTGGGATCATGACCTGAGCTGAAGGCAGACGCTTAACCTTCTGAGCCACACAGGTGCCCCAACGTTTTTTACTTTCGATGGTCTAATAGGCATGTAATGATATCCCTTTTATATTTCCCTGCTGCACCAGAGTGGAGGAACCAGAGTGCCACCCAGCCCACCTCAGCCCACCTTGGTCCACCTTGATGCCAGGCAAAGGGGAGGCTCCACTTCCTGCTGGGTCCTGATGACAACGGGGTGGGTGGGAATACAGAGTGAAGACCAGCCCAGCTTGCTCCTCCTCATTCTACTTCATCGATGCCAGGGTGGGATAAAGGCTAGCTCCCACCAGGACCCCACTAACACTACTCTGGCAGCAATATCAGACCACTGCAGCCTATAACCATCGAGTAGGAGGTAGAATTGGCTCCTCCCTCATGTCTGCCAAACCCATGGCATGTGTGCTGTGGGTGAGGTGGACAGAGGATTGAATATTGTATTGGTGTTTTTTGCTCGAGTAGTGGTAGGTATTGTCAAAGAGCTTTTCTCTTATGTTGGGTTGTCTTTTTCCTGGTTCTTTGACCAGGGTGAATAGGCTTTTCTTGGCGTTCTTTTGGCTTACACCTATCAGTGGTTCAGGTTGCAGGCTTCCCCAGTGTCCTGTCTGGGATAGATGGAAGGCAAAAGGAAAATCCAGGGACCCCAACCCTGTATCATGCCTCACATCCTGGGGTAACTGGTCACTTTTCTGTCTTCACCCCAGCTTTCAGAGACTTCTGGTATTTGTTTATAATGGTATGTCCAGGGTTTTTAAAAAAGAAGAAGGACCTGAGAAAGATTGGGCTATTTCAGCTTGGCCAGAACAAGCGGTCTTCCCCCAAACAATTTCTTTTTTATTTTATAGCAGCTTTATTGACATGTAATTCATATGCCATACAATTTGTCCTTTTAAAATGTACAATTCAATGGTTTTTAGTCTATGAACAGAGTTGTACCACCATAACCACTATTTAATTTTAGAACATTCTCATCAACCCAAAGAGAAATCCTACACTGATAGCAGTTAGTCTCTACTTCACCCCCAACACACATAAACACACAAACCCTGGCAACTACTAATCTACTTTCTGTCATTAGAGATTGAGCTATTCTGGAGACTTCATAGAAATGGAGTCATATGTTATATGGCTTTTTTAACTTGCTTTTTTTTTTTTACTTTGCATAATGTTTTCAAAGTTCATTCACATTGTAACATGTATCAATACTTCTTTTTATTGCCAAATAATATTTCATTGCATGGGTATACATTTTTTCCACTTATTAGTTGATATACTTTGGGGTTGTTTCTATTTTGGGGCTTTTATAAATAATGCTGCTAAGAACATTCAAATACAGATTTCATGAAAATATGTGCTTCATTTCTCTTGAATAGATACCTAGAAGTGGAATTCCTGGGTCATATGGTAAGGCTATATTTAACATTTTGAGGACCTGCCAAATATTTTTCCAAAGTGTCTTCACCATTTTACAATCCCACCAGCAAGGTACAAGGATTAAAATTTCTTCACATGCTTGGCAACACTAGCTATTGTCAGGCTTTTTTATTTTAGCAATCTTCTTTGAATTCACATCACTGGATGTGAAGTGGCATCTCATTGTGGCTTTCATTTGCATGTCCCTAATGACTAATGAAATTGAGCATCTTTTCATGGGCTTATTGGCTATTTGTATGTATTCATTGGGGAGATGTCTGTTCAAATCTTCTCTCCCAACATTTAATTGTGCTTTTATTGTTGACTTGTAAGAATTCTTTACATATTCTGGATACAAGTGCCTCATCAGATATATGATTTACAAATATTTTCTCTTATTCTGGGTGTTGTCTTTTTATTTTCTTAATGGTGTCCTTTGAAGCACAGAAGTTCTTAGTTTTGATGAAGTCAACTAAGATTTTTTTTCTTTTGACATTTATGCGTGGTGTCATATCTAAAAAACATTGCCTAATACCAGGTCATAAAGATTTACTTCTATATTTCCTTATAAACATGTTGTTAGTTTAGCTCTTACATTTAGGTTTATTATTCATTCTTCGTTAATTTTTGTATCTGGTGTGAGGTAGGGGTCTGTGTCTACAAACAGACTTAGTTATACTTCTTTTCTAATCTGGATGTCTTTTATTTCCTTTTCTTCACTAATTGACTTGGATATCATCCAGTACAATGGTGAAAAGGAGTGGCAAGAGAGGACAATGGATGCTTTGGAAAGCAGGGAAGGTTTTAAGTTGATGTCCATGGGAAACTGATGGAGCTCCTAGTTGTAGGAAGATGGTACTGATACGTATTTTCCAGGCTTAAAACTCTACAATCTGCAGCTCAGAAAAAAATGGAACAGTGTCCAAGTCAAAAGATTTTGGACCCGAGAGGAACTTATAGCTTAGAATAGGGTAAACAAACAAAATAATTATAAACTAATAATAAAAAGATAAAGAAGTCATCATTTAGGAAAATAAAAGCTAATTATAAAGTAAAATATTTTTCCATCACAAGCATTATAAAACTCATTATATAAAATTTGGCATTGTTGAAGAGATATAATTAAAACACAATGTTTTCCCAGCCCAAAACAGCAATGAAGAATGAAAGCACTTTTGTTACAGAATAAGCCTTGAACCACACATCACAGAAATCTGCTAAGAGATTTCATACACAGAAAGGAATCTCACCCCCTTATATAGCCAAGCTGATTCAGCCCATTACATAGATGTTTTCAAGATGACAGTAACTAGTCCTTACTAAGAGGACTGGACGGTAGCCTTTGTCATAGTTCACCCTGAATTCACCTGGTAATTGAAACGGCCATCTGTGCTAACTGGCCTTATCCACAGGAAGAGCAAACTTATATTTTTATAATAGAAGGTAGTTTTGCAACTTGGAACAAGGTGCCCAACTAAAGTTAGGTTCCTGCCCTCCCATCTATCTTCTTTGATGTTTACATTTTCTTTTGGGGTGGGGAGGGAAGTGTGGTTTAAACAACAAACATTTATTTCTCACAATTCTGGAATAGAGACTGGGAAGTCCAAGATCAAGGAACCTGGCAGATTCTGTGCCTGGTGAGAACCCACTTCCTGGTCCATAGATAAGCATGTTCATTCTCACTGTGTCCTCACACGGTGGAAAGGTTTGATGCTTGCATTTCATTTTTTTTTTAATTTTATTTTATTATGTTATGTTAGTCACCATACCATA